GCTATGTGCAGAAACACCAAATTAAATATGTTCAGATTGAATGCAGTGAAAAAAATCATCTGTGCGCGTATATACATAAGCGTATAGACCTATGGATATATATGCAAATTTTGACCAGAGCAGGACTTTCTCATGACCATTTCTACATGATGCTGTAGTCAAACATGGGTAATATAAAACATTTTGTTTTCATTTGTTTTGTAATTTTTTATATCTTATTAATATGTTAAGTTCTCGGGGTTAATATGAAAAAGCTTTTCTTATGAAAGAGAAAGTGAGAATTTTCTACTTTTTTTTTCACTCTCTTTCCTGACCTGAACGTCAGAGCTCTGTTCCCTGAACCACCTTTTCCTCCTCCTGGGCTCTTGCCAGGCTGATGACTGTAGATCAAACCCGCAAAGAGCAGGAGGGAAGCAGTGACAATGGGAGCAATGGCAGTGACATTGTGGGCTCCTTAGTAACATGGGTAACGGTCCTCCTGAAGGCCACGGGGGGGTGGGGGGGGATGCAGCAACAAACAACTCAGTTTTTGTAATGAACATCTGTTTTTTTCTGTGTAGCATCCGTATATTCTTGCGGCAACAGTACCCAGATTACGCTTGAGAGCCAGTCTGCCTGTGTGCCTCTGATGAAGTGACTTCGTTCCAAAGCCCTGGAATGCGATCTCTTAAGCCCTAACTAGCCAGTGCTGGGGTTTTGGTGAGAGCGATCAGGATGCTGTCTGCCTTCCTCTTTCCCACAACACTCAGAGCTGCTGAAAACAGTGTGGCAATTAGGAAGGAAAAGTCTACCTGAGAATAAAGCCAAGTTTGGGAAACAAAGTCAGAAAGTGGAGAAGGGGAACTGGTTCCTAGGGACACAGGGTGAGGCCTGGGTACCAACTGTCATGTTCCATAAGCCATTGAGTTCCCCTGTGTTGCTTAAGCCAGGCAAAGTTGGATATTCTATCGTTTGCAGCCACATGAATCCTGAATCCAGCAGCATTCTGAAATGTAAATGATTCAGCCATCCCCTGCTCACCCTGTTAAGTTATCCTGTAGAGTCTATTGGTGTTTTTATCTTACAGATTACACTAGATTGGGAGGGAGTGGGCTGGAGAGGGACAAGAGTTGGAGCAGTTAGGCTGTTTTTGCTTTCTCTGTCCTGAAATTGCCTGGGGTTACCTCCTCCTTACCTGGGCTGCTGAGGGTTCAGTGCCTCGGGGCTGGGAAAGGCCCTGAGGGAGGGGCTCTGCTGATGGAGACGCAACTCCCGTGAGGGCCGCCCCAGCAGGTGAGGCAGCGGGTGACCTCCCTCTTGCGACTCTTCAGCACCCTCTGTGTCCTCATCACCCCATTTTCAGAAAAGTCTAATGCAGTGAGGGCGAACCTATGACACGCTTGCCAGAGGTGACACGCGAACTCATTTTTTTGGTTGATTTTTCTTTGTTAAATGGCATTTAAATATATAAAATAAATATCAAAAATATAAGTCTTTGTTTTACTATGGTTGAAAATATCAAAAAATTTCTCTATGTGACACGGCACCAGAGTTAAGTTAGGGTTTTTCAAAAAGCTGACACGCCGAGCTCAAAAGGTTCGCCATCACTGGTCTAATGGAAGCATCTCATGAATAAATTAAACAATAAAAACATCTTCCAGCCACAGTGAAAATAAAGTCAACAGAAGCTATTCACATGTATGGTAATTATCATTGTACAGTTCAGTTTTCCCTTAAAAATATCGAGTCTAAAGATGGAATCAGTTTAGTATTAATAAAAGTCCAGGCATTTACTTAATAAAAGTGCTGCTGTCTTTTTAATCTTCTGTTTTTCTCTCTATGGTTATACGTTCCCACCTAATTTTAACCTATTAGCACCATAATAATTCTCCTTATGGTAAACATTCCATAGAGCTTATTCCTTCTCTGAAAAACTAGTTTTTTTTCTACTTTCACACAATGCTCCTTCACCCTAGGGCAGAGGACTCAGGGGGAAGGAGAGGAAGTATTAAAAAAAAAATACTGTGTGAGATGGGAGGAAGTTTGACTTTGGGGAGCCGGAGGGACTGTTCCTTGAAATAGACCTAATTATGGCTGGGATTTGTGTGACTTTGGGTTAATCACCTGTGGTTATGGTTAGTGGTAAATTAGTACTGGGGTCTGCAGAGAGACTAGACGGAGACTCCCGCGCGCACACTGAGTGGAGCAGCCCGCCCTGAGGAACAGTCATTGGAGAGGTGCCCCTGGAGTATATCGTGTCTGCATTTAATTTGTCTTCACTGCAGCTACTCTATTTATGTAGCTACTCTGCACTGCTTGGTGGTGCTCGCTGGTCTCCTCGGGAAGGCCACGCAATTAGCGCTCTTCCTAAGGTGTGAATCCAGACCAGTTTCTTCTGTTAAACACTGTTATACTTCAGCAGGACTCACTAAAATAGAATGCCATCACCAAGGATCGTATCACTCTTGCTCTTTTCTTGGGCTTGAAGACCAGAAAGGCCGTTCCCAGGATTTCCTGAGACCTCACTTTGTTGCTCAAAATTGGCACCGGGATGTCTGTGTTGATAAGAAGATATTAGATTCACATCTTATGATCTGACAGTAGGTTAATGTGAAAAATACTATATTATGAAGAATGTATTTCACAGCATCTAACAGATGCTGCTCGTATAATAGCCCAATGTAGCAAGTGCGCCAAATGTGCACGCGTGTTGTTTTTGACACTGTTTTCATAAGTGATGATGTCGCCTAATTGAAACTTACTAAAATTGTTTTCTCCTCCAACTGTCATGAAAACATACCAAATTATGTGCTTTGTATACCCATGATTTACAAGTATAAGCTGTATATTCCTTTTGGCTTTCTCCGCTGGTTTAGAGTTACATTTGAAAATACGAGATTTTTATCCCTTTGAATATTCGTCTAATGAGTTCATTCAGTCCCAGTATGTATTAATTCTTCTTCACTTACATAGCCAGCAGTAGATTCAAACTTGAAGATTCATTGAAGGCATTTTCAGATTTTTTTAATCTAAAGTTTGTTAAATCTAAAAATCTTATTTAAAAAAACATCTTATAGTCTTTTTATTTAACTCATGGAGTGTTGCTGGCATTCAGCAATGTATAGGTTTAAATTTTTACCTTCGTGTGCAGCTCTAACTCATGTGTGGACTTTAGATTTCGTGTATGCATAATTACATAATCTTCCCATAGGACTGTCTAAACTCCTCTTCCAAATCTTTATACCTTTCATTTTATTGTTTCTAGTGAGGCTAGGCCTCCATTGGCTGGGATCTCCATACAGTGTTACTAGAAGTGGTAAGAGTTGACATCATTGTCAACATCCCCAATTTCAAAGGGGAAACGTTAAAATTTTTTTTTCTATTAACTATGATGTTATAGGTTGTTAGATTTGGTTTGCTAACTGTTTAGTTAGGGTTTTGAATCTACGTTCATGAATAAGAAAATCCTGTAACTTTTTTATAATGTCCTTGTCTGATTTTTGATGGTTTTGCTAGATTTTTAAAGGAAGCTAGGGAGTGTTTCTTCTTTCCTACTTCTGTCTGGAAGATTGTGGGTAAGACTACCATTATTAATTAGAATTCACTGGTGAAGCCATCTAGCTAGTTTTTAGTTTTGGGGTTTTTTTGTGGTTTTTTTTGAAAAGTTTTTAATTGCAAATTCAACTTCTTCAATAACACTGTTTTGATACTGTTTCTTCTTGTGTCCATTTTGGTTATAGTTTTCTATGGATATGTCTATGTCATCAAAATTTCCTATTTATTGGAAGAGAGCTCTTCATACTATCCTTTTGCCTTTTTATGGTCTATAGGCTATGTAGTGATGTCTCCTTTCTTATTACTGATATTTGGCATATGTACCTTCTTTTTTTCTTAAACTCTCCAACGTTTATCTATTTTTATTAATGTTTTCAAGTAACTTATTTTCATTATCATTTTGTTACCTATGGGTTATTTAAAAGTGTTTCCTTAATTTCCAGTGATACAGGAATTTTTTCTTTACAAGAAGATAGCTTAGATTTCTAGATTAAAAAACATTCTGAAGATTTCCATTATTTGAAATTCATTGTTAATTTGCTTTTATTTTTGTAAATATTTATAAAAATTTCACTGTGAGCTTGAGAAAATGTATATTCTGTAAGGTGAGGTGTTCTATGTATTACCATTAGGTCAATTTTCTTATTGTGATATTCAAATCTTCTACCTTCTTTTACTATGTTTATTTCTCTGCGTGCTGTCAGTTACTGAAACAAGTGTACATACTGAAGTCTCTACTGGTTGTGAATTTGTTTCTCTAGTTCTGGCAGTTTTTGCTTTATATGTTTTGAGCCTATGCTGTTAATGCATGTAAATTTGGAATTATTTTATCTTCCTTGTAAATTGAAAGCTATATCATTATTGAGTGTATCTCTTCATCTCTAAGTAATGGTTATTGCCTTAAAGCTAACCTTGACTAATGTAGCTATGTCAATTTTCCTTTGGTTATTATTTGCACAGTTAATTTTTCCATCCTTTTTTTTCAACGTTCTGTATTTCTGTGTTTTACATGATGATTTATAAATAGATTGTTTTAACTTATTTATTTAATGAAAGTGTGCCAATCTTTGTCTTTAAAGGCATTGTTAAAACATTTACATCTAATGTAATTGAGTCTAAATCTGTGTCAGTCTTTTAAGGTCAATAAGTCTTTAAAAACACAATTTTTTACATTCAGAAAATAGACAGTTTATTAACATCTATGAGTAAGAAATTTAGCTTCTGATTTGTATATAAATATGCATGGACTTATAAAACCTCATCTATCATTTCTTTGCTATATAATGAAAAGAGATGCAGAGACTAAAATATGCTCAGAACAACATTTCTAATCTAGTGTTTGGGAATTTTGCTTGCATTTCATCTTTATTGTGATTTACTTGCCTAATTCCACTAAACATGGCATTAACAATATATCTTTTTTTTTTTTTTACAAAGTACTATAAAGATTTCACTTTTGGTTCCAGGGCTGTGACTCCCAAATGAGCATGTCAGAAGTGTCCTGTAGTAGAAGTACATCCTCCTGTCAGTCTCTGGAGCATGGCTCAGTTCCAGAAATTCTCATTGGCCTGCTTTATAACGCCACCACTGGCAGACTATCAGCAGAAGTCATCAAAGGCAGCCACTTCAAAAACTTGGCAGCAAACAGACCACCCAGTGAGTGGAAAATGTTTGTTTTTTTAAATTCTAATGTTTTCTGCACTTATGGGAATCTCAGTGTTAGGAGCTTTCGTCCTACCATTTAGTTTTAACTGATCAAAATGAAATGGTGTAATAATCATCAGCTAATCTGTTTCATGATTTCTATTTCCAGTCATTTGGGAAGTAGAAAAATTTGAAATTCAAAATATGAATTGGACGGTGTCGAGACTTAATTTTTCCAATGTCAGTGGAATAAATTCTCCCCATTATAGCCATTATCTTCTAATGCCAGAACAAGTTACAGGATCTTTTTAAGTTACTAATATTCCACCAAGATAATCAGGAATATGGGCAGTTATTGCTGTTACCTGAAGATTGATGCTGTGTTATCTGTCTGCATGCAGAACTATACACTTTCCTCCCTTAACAATTTAAGAAGAAACTGTGTTTTTTTTCACATATTTCTTCTTTAAAATTATAAGTCAGTACTGTCACCAGAGTCTTTTCTTAAATGGAATGTGCTTTGGCTTTACCAGGACCAACAGTATAAGGAATATTTTTGTATTTACCCCAAATGCTAGGATGGGAAACTAGATAGTATACCTCCGCCCTGTGTCTATGCCTCTCAGTCTTCCAAATCCTAATCCAGCCGTGGGCAAACTACGGCCTGCGGGCCGGATCCGGCCATTTGAAATGAATAAAACTATTGAAAAAAAAGACCGTACCCTTTTATGTAATGATGTTTACTTTGAATTTATATTAGTTCACACAAACACTCCATCCATGCTTTTGTTCCGGCCCTCCGGTCCAGTTTAAGAACCCATTCTGGCCCTTGAGTCAAAAAGTTTGCCCACCCCTGTCCTAATCTCTCTCCCAGCTCCAGGTAAGTTATGGGAGAACAGAGAAATTGTCACTCAGTGTATGCCCAAAACTATTTGTTGAAATCTATGGACGCAAACTGGGAAATAGCAGCTTTTTTATACTTCTCTAAATTAAAGCTGTTAATGCCCCAAACTAAAAATTTGGAAATTTTGAATAATGGTCACTTTAAGTTTGTTTAAAGATTTCTTTCAAACTTGCTTAAAACAATCTTTTACTCCAATTATCAAATAATTCTTGAAGGAGAAGAAACTTTTTCCACCCTTGAATTAACATTTTTTTTCAGTCAAGCTGAAAAGTCATAAAGACATATCTGGTTTGCTCTAAGTAGTCTTGGAAACCTTGCTTCTTACATACATCATGAAATGTATCTATCCCTGAATTAAAAATCAGAAGTCCAAAGTTATGTTCATATTTCTACCCTTGGACAAGCGCCCTAACTCCCCTTAAGTCTGTTTCCTTATACATAAAATTAAAGTTGTGTCTCTCACAGGGTAAATGTGAGACTCAAACAGACAAAGGTGCATAAAAGAAGGATGGATTTATTATTGTCCTCTTCCTCTTTTCAGAACGAAAATTTCAGAGGGTGTAAAGAGACAGCTATTAGAATAAACAGCTACTCGGTTATCTTCATTAATACACACTTAGAATGCAAACTCTAATGGCCTGGAAAGCAACTTAAATGAGCAAAAGTTGTGGATGAAAGATAAGGAGCATGGTGAGGCCTGTGACCAATGGGAGAGCGTACACCCTGCATTTAGACATTCAATTGGAAATTGTTGTCAGCACGGCAGCAGATAAGATACTTTTGGGGTTCCCTTTAGCCACAAGTTACCAGTTTGCCCTTCATTTTTTGCTTTAGCTAATAGTTTAATTTTTTGACAAATTTTTAACTTGAGATACTAAAAAGTAGCAGAATGAAGTGATGTTTGCCTCTCTGTCCTTGTTCTACCCACTTTGATAGAAACAGAAAATCACTAATCAGACTCAGAATGAAAGGAGCAGAGTAGAAGAGGTTAAGAGATTATCATCCACAAAATAAGGTAGATCTTTCCGGTTCTAAAGAGTAAGTTAAAGCAATTTTCATTATGTTAGAGTTAGATCTTCAGTATCAGGATGTTTAGCTGAATTAAATACAAGTCAACATTAAAATTAGTTACACAGGGTAAAATATAAGATAATAAAGTAAAATATAAGACAGTTATGTCAGTTCATCTTATTCTGTATATACTATATAAGATTGTGACCCTTCACATATACCTAGTACTAAGCTTTGAACTGTGTTATAAACTGAATAATCTAATTTGTAACCAAAGAAAACAATAGTAGTATTCAAGGGAAAAATTTTTGGTAATTCTATTTTATTTTTCATTACTTAATTTTATGTTACATTGAGAGTAGTAATAAAAGAATTTGGAATATTAAATATTGCATGGATAAACTTAAAAATTTTGGATAATAATAACAGTGATCCTATAATGACTTTTATTCAGTCTTTTATAGTCTGATGATTTGCATGCTTCTATGTTCAATGTGCTTTAGACCAAGAGGATATCATTATAAAGATGTCCCCCTTTAAAACAGTGTAATTTTTGTTTCAGATTACAAAATGACCTTAAAAATGCTCATTTCATGAGTTTTGCCCAAGGACCCTTTTGTTCAACCCTCTACCTGAATTAAAATGCTAAATTTTTGTGTTCTTCCACTCCAGTGAACAGTGTTTCCTCTTTAATTCTAACCTTTGACCCTCTTTCACCCAACAATTGACATCTGGTCATTATTTCTTTTACTGCTTTCCACCCCCTGTTGTCAGATGGACTGTTCTGTTGTCTAAAACACTTGATAGGTGGACAGGTTTATATAATCCGAGGTGAGTTCCTGTAGAGGCTAATTGGATGTTGTCTTTTCATGCAAAACAAACAAAAAAATACCCTAAAACTTGCCAGCAGTGAAGCTGTCCACCATGTTGGTTTCAAAAAATGCACATTTATTATCTGTGGTACTTTAAGTAAAACTAACTTAGAATTTATCTCTGATTATGGATGATGGTATTCGGAGTATAAAGTAAGCAAAACTTTTTAAATTAAAGGCTTTTTTTCATTCATTGTATTTTGACTCATACAACAGAAATAGTTACTTCATCAGAAATACTGCAATTTTCATTAAAATTAATTGAAATTTTGACAAGAAGTACACATGATGGATCAACATGCTGAAGGTCATCTGCATGAATCAAACGACCTTGAAAACACAGTTGTTTGAAGAGAGGGTTTGGTTTATCTCCCAAATAATCAGGCAATGGACTGTTACGTTTCACTTTGTACACGAAACATCACATCAGTTGTTTTTTTTCTAATTCATGAACATAGTTCGGACGCCATACTTACAATTGGACATTGAATTGTGTCAAAAAAGGAACCCTGTAGTATCTATTTTGACTGTCCAGAAAGCACATTAAATGTACTCTTGCATGAAACCAGGAGAAAGTTTTCCTTGACTTGCTGAACTTTGAGCCCTTAATGCATTTAGCTTCATTTTGGCTCTTAAATAGTTTTAAAATATAACTAAAAACCACATCCATGCAGAGATTTTTTTCACATTTCATCCTAAGCTGTTTTGATGTCATCTTTGCATTCTTGTCTTCCTCTTTTCCTCTTTATCATTTGCCTTCATTTCTATTTGTTTGTTTATTCTTATTCTCTGAAAACACAGTGGAATGCTTTACAGTGTTGTGGCTAATTGAGCTTGCTAAGTGTTTATTAATGCTATGATGTCCTGCTTAGTGAAGCTAAATGGGGATGGGATGGGGAGGGGGCGGTCGTGGGAGGTCGTGGGAGGTCAAGGAATGGCTGGGAGGGTGGAGGAAGGATTATGAGGTATACCTTTAAATTCTAACTATAATGTAGAAATAGTGAGGTTAAGATATTAGTATCCCCCAAAGATTTTCTGCCTCCTTAGCATTCTCTGTACCTGTCACATAGTATAAGCATCTACATCAAAATGGAATTAGTTGAATTTCCATTAAACATGGTATACACCATATCCTTACAAAGCACAAAGAATTTTCTCAGCAAATGTTACAAGAAAGTTGTTTTTGCGTTTGTTTCAAATGATATTTGTGGTATGTTGTTCTGTGTTTTTTTTCCCCTATAGATACGTATGTTAAATTAACTCTACTGAATTCCATGGGTCAAGAAATGTCTAAATGCAAGACATCCATCCGCAGAGGGCAGCCAAATCCAGTGTACAAGGAAACTTTTGTTTTTCAAGTGGCCCTGTTTCAGCTCTCTGACGTGACCCTTATCCTGTCTGTGTATAACAAGCGCAGCATGAAAAGAAAAGAGATGATAGGCTGGATTTCTCTAGGTCTGAACAGCTCTGGAGAGGAGGAACTCAATCACTGGACCGAAATGAAAGAGTCGAAAGGACAGCAAGTGTGCAGATGGCACGCGTTACTAGAGTCATGATGAGGAGAACAAGCATTTGCAGCTGCAGGCACCATTGCTGTCAGTGACAACGCCGCTGTTTTGACCTGGTCATCGTTAGAAGACTTATTCTTTGAAGAATCACCTTCAACATTCTACCAAAATGTTTTAAATTCTGTGGAAAGACCATCTAATACTGACATGAATGAAGGCAGGTTGTATCTCTGGTAGAGTTTGGGACGATGAAAAACCCTATCATCATTGTTAAGCTATCGATCCTTCAGAGCTTTAAGAACATGCTTTTGGGTTGAAGTTCATTTTACTTTAGCAAAAGAGCCAGTCATTTCCTGAAAAATCAAAATCGTCGATGATTTTTTAGAATTTTTAGTTGCAACACGATTTTAGTATCACCCTACATATTATCCGTAAAGCATATTTTGACTGGCTTGTCCCTGGTGTTTGAAATGTACTTTGATAAAAGAAAGTAGTTCTCCAACTCTATTGTAAGTCATATCTGGTGTTGAAGGGTTTCAGTCACATTGGAAATTGTTTTCTTTCAGATATTTTCCCTTTATGCACTTAGCTTCATTGTACCTCGGTTCTCGGTAGCACTAAATCTGAGTGCAAGCAAGATTTCATTGTCATAAAGGCATTTGTAATGTTATTTTAAAAACTCATTTCTTCATTTACCTCTGCTTTTTGCCCCATCCAAAGAGACCCAGTCACTGTACCGGTCCCTTGCAAGTCCTTAGACAGGTTGTACTGTAGAACTCTGTAACTTTCTGTTGAAAGCACTTCCTGTATTCTCGTATTCCAGTGTAGGAAGCTAATAATAGAACAGGACCTTACTTTAAAATTCCTTTCAACGACTGACTCTTTAAAATTGTAGTAATGTGCATATACATTTTTTTACAAACTAAAAAAACACAGTATGAGCTGCTGAAAATGAAAAACAACTTAAGTTAAAGAACATTTTAATGATCCGCTCTGAGTGTGTAGTCGCAAGCACTGCATAAAGCAGGGAGCATTCGCATAAGAAACTGTTCTCTCTCTAAATCTTCTGCTCTCTCACTTCAATCTGTATTTCTGACATAAAGACTCTCCACTTCTCGGTTTGAACCAGAACATCGTGTTCAAAAAGGTTCTGGGATTCCTTATGAAGTTTCTAGTGACTTGTGACTAGATTTTATGAAACTTACAGATACGTTCTTCAACGTGATGTCATCCTGTGCCTTTTGTGTAAGTTAACTTTGCTCAGACAGCTCGAAAGTTGTGTTTGCAAAGTTAGGCCTTCGATTTTTATAAACGAAAGATTCCTCAGAACAGTGTCACAAGCTCTGTTTCCTCTGAAGTGTGTGAAAGCTGTACAATGTGCTGTTTTTCTTAACTCGCAAGGCCTTTTCGTTTGTTTTTATATTTAGGAACACTGATTAATCAGGAATACTATAAGCTGTTTTCTTTTTAATTTTGCTTCTTAACCAATATATAATTTTGAGCATACACTTTATTAAATAGGTTGTTTTGTATATATGAACAATATTTTTCTCTTTCTAATTTTTAGTTAAACTAGACGAAAGCAAACTATTTGCCAATTACTAAAAAGCAAGTATATCATTGCTCCTAGTCCCAAATAAGTACTATATGTATTATTTTAAGCGAGGGCTTGTTTTCATCACAGTAACAAAACCATGCGTACATATTGTTTCAACGTGGCTAAACTGAAAGGCCTTAAATAAAAATTAAAAAAAAAAACAATAAACACCTGATATATTTTTAAAAATGGCAGCTCTATGCATTTATGCACATGAATTATAAAATACAAATGCTATATGACATGAGTTTTAAGACTGTCTATTAGAGAGTTGCATTAAAGGGAAAAATTCGTTCTTTTATTATTACACCATTCAGCTTTTCCCAGGTGTTTTGGGGTTTTTTGTGTGTGTGTGTAATTGAGTTAGGTTATAAAGTTAGAACATGAATCAAATGGCGTGATATCTCATGTAGCAGTAATGGAAAGGGTTTTAAGCAGGGAGGGGATGTAGGTTTTACTGAGAAATTAGATTTAGGCATTTGATGCCAGAGGTATCCGCCCCGGCTCTGAGACAACTGCCTGCATTGCTAACACCTGGGATCTTCCTAATAAAAAGAGATTCAGTCTTATGTGTAGCTGTAACAGAGCCTAATCACACACGTTATAAAACCAGCTCGGTGCTTTTTCCTTCAGTGAGGAAAGACCTCACTGGCTGTTACTTGTTCAGTCTGTCCTTCAGCCTGTGCCCGGAATTGTGTGTGTGCTCTGATGTGTCCTTAGGGATTTGCCTGGTATAAGTATCACATCCAATGTGGCCTAAAAAGTAATGAACAATCCTAAAAACTTTCAACAAGGACCCTGTCTCCATCCCAGCTACCAAGTCCTCAAAGATTATGGATTATGTGTATGTGTATCTGTATACACACCTGCACACATACACACTATGTATGTGTGTGTATGCACACACACACACACACACACACACACACGTATGTAAAGGTGAAGGTGCCCTGGCTTCTTCAGAAAAGGAACTAGAAAAAACATTTATCAAGTTGATGGATTCTTTTTCTCCTCTATTTAGGAGAAATTATATTTGGTTCTGGGTGCTATTAGCTGCCATTCTCCTCCACACACAGCAAAATATGTATTTTTCTTCCTGAGGACTGACACAAGTTAATTACTTACAAAAGTTTGTCTATTCTTTTAAAAAAGGATTACATACGGCTCAAGAGACCCCCTCCCTCTACTGAATCTGCTGTACCAGGCAGTCCGACTGCTCTTTTGTGTGCTTGAATTTGCATGAAGGCTTAAAGGCAAAAATCTTATATCTCAGCAATTATAGCAAATAGGGACCCACTGGTGGGCAGCAGGTGTTGTCTCAGAAACGCGAGAAAGGCAACGCACTTTCTTATTGTTCTCTTAAAATCCCCCAAGTTTTATAATAACATGAGATAGTCCAAATATGGCAATTGACTGACACTCATATAATTTCCTGAGCCTGGAATTATAGACTTTTTGTCTCCCAAATGAGCTGCAAAACAGTTATTTATTACTGCCCGGGAAACAAAGTGTATTTCAAAACAGTAAAGAATGTTAGTATTTTATCCCTGGACCTTTCAGAAACTTCCTTCTGGAGTCTTGTGTCTTCTGTACTATCCACATTTTGTGTGAAATCCATTTGTATGTTTTCTTACTCTGCATCCAGTGAATTCTCAATAATATGATATTTTAGTGACAAAAATAATAATTTGGACCACAGTTTTGAAAAAGAAAACCCAATGAGAAAATATCTAAACTGCCCTGATTAATGTACGTATGTCAAAGTGTAGGGCCTGGTAAGGCAGTGTCATCCAGCCCACGGCTATTATGCTAAATTATTTTCTTGCTACCATCATCATTTTCATTTCGCTTTCCAATCTAATAAAAAGCATAATCAGTGATTGCAAAGTAAGATAGCACCAGTAGGGGCAGAGGTCATGGGATTGTGGGTGTTCTTCAAGATGAAGTTGGAGACCAAATGATATCATAGTTTTTCAAGTGAACTGAGAGGCTATTTGGAGGTATAAATTTTAGGTGAATTAAGAATACTAGTCACCAACTAATTTTGTTGAAGATCTTTATCCAGATGGGGAGAAATGACACAAATCCACGCGCATAAAATTGCCACTTTCCTACATAGACTAGATAGTCAATGTGTAGAGATTTTTCTCTTTGATACGTAGTTATATTATTTCACATTAATAGTTACTCTTCAGACTTTTTATTTTTTTCCCCCACTCACTGTCCCCAGTTCATCCATAGCCAACACTGGAGGGAGCATCAGTATCACCCATCACCGACCAAAATCAATATTGAGCACAAAGTTGAACATGCTATGAAGCATTTTTAAAAAATTATCTTTAAAACATCATCTATGTTCACCAAAATGCATAATAATCATAATGGTAACAGTTATAATTTACTGAGATCTAGCACAATAAGTTATTATTTTGTTTGATTCTCACAACAGCATGAGGTAAATAATATTATTAACATTTTATAGATGAAGAAACTGCAGCCTAGAGGTTAAACAGACTTTCCCAAAGTCACCCAATAAGCAGAACTGGAGTTAGAACCCCGGTATAAATTGCGCTAAACCTATACTATGCATCTCACAGCTGCATCCCCCTTTACTGGCTACAAGAAAAACAGGACAACATTATGTTCATCAATAACCCTACCCACCTCGGTTGAATGGCAGAACTAAAGAGAGGAGGAGGAGGAGGAACAACAACAGAGCTTGGGAAAGAGAAATGCAAAACAAAGAAAAGAAAATTAGATTGTTTCTCTTCTCAGGACACAAATGTGTGTCATATTTGTAGTTGATTTTCAAAGACTTGGGGATTTAATTTACGTTGCCAGTTTAGCCTATGTTTATATTCTGAAACTGTATTAGTCAATGTATTCTACTCATTGCATTCTTTTGGAAATCCAAGACAGTTGAATTATGTCTGAGCACCTTTCTGCCCTATGAAGTGGACAGGGATAGCCTGTATTCATCGGTCCGTGTCAATGGTGAGAGGAGAGACCCTTGTGCTCTCATTGCAACTTACAGTACTTGCGTTCTCCTCTACCCTTCATTATGGTTTAACCGGATCACAACTAACTTTATTGCACACGTTTCTCTTTTCCCCTTGATAGTAGTTAGTGCCTTGTTATCTTTATGTGGCCCTTACTCAGATAGGCACATGGTAAATATTGAGTTGAACTAAATTCCCTATAGAACAGTGGTTCTCAACCTTGGCTGCACATTAGAATCACCTGGGAATCTTTTTAAAATCCTGATTTCTGAGCCCCATCCTCCAGAAATTCTGTTTCTTTGTTACTAATGTGGTGGCCCCACCTCATAGCAAAGAGACAGAATTTCCGGAGGATGGGCCCAGGAATCAGGATTTTTAAAAAGTTCCCAGGTGATTCTAATGTGCAGCCAAGGTTGAGAACCACTGTTCTAGAAGAAATCAGGCTATGGCCACCCAGCGCAAAGGGGAAAAAAGGGCTCACTCTTTTTTTTAAAATTCTGATTACTGTTTGATATTTGAGTTTGTCCTTTGAATATTCAGGACTACTCTAACAAGGGAAAAAATACCCTTCTGTTTATTCCTTTCACATGTGATCGCTCACCTGACACTGTTTAAAATGAATACTCAGTGGATGAAATATAATACTCCATTATACACTGAAAGAAATAACTTTCGGAAATTTGTTTATATATGCAGATATTGCCAGAATGCCTATTTCCATAAACCTAAGCAGTTAATATTAAATATGACTATTCTGTGTAAGGAGAAAATGGGGATTTTCCCTTATCCCTGAGGTTTGTTTCTCTTGGCTCTCACATCTGGCTGTGAACCGCTTTCCAGCCCTTCCTTTGTCAGTTTCTGAGTGTGCTCATCTCCATGTGGGATTTTCAGCAATGACCAAACTTTTTATACCCACAGGGGAGATTCTCACCAGTGATTCCTGTTCAAAACCCCCATTAATGCTGATGACATACATGAGCACCAGCAGGAGGAAAGATCCCTCAAGTGTAAAGAGCCAGGACCTTAGAGCCCTGATATAGGTTGGCAGCTATAGCACCTGAACGGGGCTTCAGGCCTAGTGCAGTAGAAGCAAGCCCCTGGAAATGAGAGTTTAAGTCCTTATGCCCGAAATTTTCTCCTTTTTGTCTTCTCGCCTTGCACATTTCAAAAAATTTTATGAGAAAGCCTTAAAAATCGGTTTTAAATTTTTCAAATGTTCTTAACCAGGCAATTTCATCAAAAGGAAACCAAAGTCAATCATAGGAAGCCTTTTGGGGGGAGGGGGAGAGGGCAGGGGGATGGTGGTGGTTTTCGTTTGGGGCAGTCTTTTGGATAAATATTAGGAATATTTACAACATTCTATAATCAAGTCCCATTTGTTCTGTGAGGAGAGACCAGGGTAGCTTTTGCATATAAATTGGCTCTATTAGTATTTAAGTATGTTTGAACAATTATTTGAAGTACAGCTAGAAAATAAAGGTGATGCTTCAAACAGTATTTTGAAATTATAAATATTACTTTAAGAAAACTTATAGCTTGCATTACAAAATTTATGATTTTTCTGCATAACTTTATTGAGATGACTTTTGCTTTTATAGTGAAAATAATAGAGTGACGAAAATTTTGAGGAATCTTTAAAGCTGTCATAGAGTGGCAAACAACCTTTGGATTTTTACTAAAATTTTGAAATGAGAAAGTATATCCATATTCTCAGTTCAATTAGTCTTTGCTGAAGAACAGCTATTATGAGTTTTAAGGGTCTTGATAAATGTTGAGTTCTGTTCTTTTTCTAAAACTCATGAGGTCCATGATTGTTCAGTGCATTGTGTTTTATTTCTCAAAATAATGTAACATGGAAAACTCAGTTAGTGGAATCTTTTAGTCATTATCCCTACTTTCCTCCCTCCTCTCTCTTCCTCCCTCCATTCCACCCCTTCCTTCTACTTCCTTCCTTCCTGTTTCATTTTTTTGAGGCAAGAAACTTCTTTAATAGAGTTTCTACAGAGCTTTCTTACTTATTTTTCTAATAATGGTTATAATAGTGTGATGAAGTTTAAATGCTCCGTGAGCAAAACTATTAACCTGAAGAAATGCATTATTGTTCACCATCCCCCTTGGTCTTAAACTGTCTCCAGCATAGTTTCTAGCAACTCTACAGCATTAATGGATCTTATGAATATATACAAGTATCTGTATGGTTATCAATAGTGTTGTATTATTGTCACATTAATAGGCATTTTTTTGTCAAAATATAAACAGATGCGTGTGTGAAATAACTCATTTTATAGAATGATCATGTATCTCATCATTTTCATGTAATTGAAAATGTGCTACATGTTGCATTTTATTCTCATACCTACTTTTCTACTATCTCTATACACCGATTGTCTCGGTGCCCTTTTCCTTTTGTATAATTGTATTACAAAATGAAATTACTGACCTCTGTGTAAACAATGTACAAACTGTTAAAATTATTAATCGAAAGAGATTTTAATGGCAGTTTAATTTTCCAGAAAATAAATTTTTGCGTGGGTGAAAGGTTACTTTTCTTCACCTTTCTGTGAGAAATCTCTTCACATGTTAGTACTCACTAGGAATGGGTAAGCATCTGACTTCTGATAATGATACATAAAAATCAGCCCGAATTTTTATCATTGATAAATAAGTGTTGCCCTCAGGTGGCTCAGTTGGTTGGAGTGTCTGCCCATACACCAAAAGGTTGTGGGTTCGATCCCTAGTCTGGGTGCATATAAGAGGCAACTGATAAATTAACCAGAAGCTAATTTTATTCAACTTTGTTTAGCGTAGAACACCAGTGCCCAATGGGTCTGGTTTAATCTTCTTTCTTTTTATAAGAATTGTCTGAACTGAACACAATGAAGACATGGAACACTTATTAAAATAAATGTGTTCACCATTTAATCAACTAAGTTTAAGGAATTCGTATTCCTTCCCAATACTTGCTGCTGAATTCTCCCTTTCTCTCAAACATTTTTGGGTTTCCATTAGTAAGGTGTTTAAGAAGCAGCAAAAATAATAGACTTGCTTATGAGTTTACTCCAAAAAAGAGTCACATTTATCTGGATCATGGCTTATTGTCTTTCACAAAATTAAATAGATAAAAAGTGAAATTTCAAGGTACCAAACTTAATGGACCTGGGTCGTTGAGAACATTTTATGGACTTGACCCCAAAGGCAAGGGAGGTAAAGGCAAAAATAAATGAATGGGACTATGTCAAACTGAAGAGCTTCTGCACAGCAAAAAACAAACAAAAAAACGGGCAACAAAACAAACAGGCAGCCAACCAGATGGGAGATATCTGCAAACAGTAGCTCTGACAAAGGTTTAATTTCTAAAATATATAAAGAACTCGTAAAACTCAACACCAAACAAACAATCCAATCAAAAAGTGGGCAGAGAACTTGAAAATACACCTCTCCCAAGAAGACATAACGAACAACCAATAGAGAAATGAAAAGATGTTCAAAACTACTGGCAATTAGGGAAATGCAAATCAAAACTACATGAGATACCACCTCACACCTGTTAGAGTGGCCATTATCAACAACGCAAGCAATAACAAGTGTTGGAGAGGTCCTCACTGCTGGTGGGACTGTAGACTAAATACAACCACTGTGGAAAGCAGTCGCAATTCCTTAAAAAATTAAGAATAGAGCTACCCTTGTGCACTGCTGGTGGAATGCGGACTGGTGCAGACACTGTGGAGAACAGTATGGAGTTTCCTTAAAAAATTAAAACTGAAACTCCCATTTGACCCAGTAATCCCACTTCTAGGAATATATCCCAAGAAACCAGAAACACCAATCAGTAAGGATATAGGCACCCCTATGTTCATAACAGCACAATTTACAATAGCCAAAATTTGGAAACAGCCTAAGTGCTCATCAGCAGATGAGTGGATTAGAAAACTGTGGTACATCTACACTATGGAATACTACACTGCTGCAAAAAAAGAAGGAACTCCTACCATTTGCAACAGCAAGGGATGGACCTGGAGAGCATTATGCTAAGTGAAATAAGCCAGTCAGAGAAAGATAAATATCACATGATCTCACTCATTTGTGGACTATAATGAACAACATAAACTGATGAACAAAAATAGATTCAGAGATAGAAGCATCGAACAGACTGCCAAAACTCAGAGGGAAGGTGGGGGGAGGGGTGGGGGGTAAGGGGGAGAGATCAACCAAAGGGCTTGTACGCATGCATATAAGCATAACCAATGACACAGACACTAGGGGGGTGAGGGCATGTGCTGGGGGCTGGCAATGGGGTAAAAGGAGACACATGTAATACAATAATAATAATAATAAAAGAATAGAGCTACCATATGACCCAGCAACCCCACTCCTGAGTATATACCAAAAACTCAAAACCATATATTCTCAAAGACATATGCACCCCTATGTTCACTGCAGAATGATTCACAGTGACCAAGATATGGAAACTAAAGTGTCCTGTGATAGAGGACTGGATAAAGAAGATGTGGTACATCTACGCCAGGGGTCCTCAAACTACGGCCCGCGGGCCACATGCAAATACAAATATTGTATTTGTTCCCGTTTTGTTTTTTTACTTCAAAATAAGATATGTGCAGTGTGCATAGGAATTTGTTCATAGTTTTTTTTTAAACTATAGTCCGGCCCTCCAACGGTCTGAGGGACAGTGAACTGGCCCCCTGTTTAAAAAGTCTGAGGACCCCTGAATTCTACGCAATGGACTACTCAGCCATAAGAAAGGACGAAATAGCGCCATTTGCAACAACATGGATGGACCTTGAGAACATTAAGTGAAATAAGTCAGTCAGCAAAAGCTAAGAACCATATGATTTCACTCATCTGTGGGATAGAAAACTGAGACTTATGAATGCAAACAGCTGTGTGATGGTTGCCAGAGGGAAGGGGGTGGGAAGAGAAGGGGGTCCTAATATGAGGTGACAGGAGATTTGACTTTAGGTGGTGGGCACACAGTGCAATATACAGATCTGGTAACATAGAAATCTACACATGAAACTTATATGTTCATGTAGACCAATATCACCCAAATCAATTTAATAAAAATTTAAAAATAAATAAAACCCCCCAAAAATAAAGTGAAATTTCAGCAGAAAGCAGGCACATCTGCATTCTGACTAGTATATCATTAAATCATTTTTATTGTTTACAGAGGGACTTACCTAGTTATTCATCATATTCATCTTATATACTTATAAGA